TTATATTTACAATCTTCCTAGTGGAACTAAAATAAACTGAACACGAGTATATACATCTAATAAGAAGTGGAGGACAGAGAAACAATCTACTGCCTAGAACCTTTCAGTACTGATTACATAACCACCACCAGCAGCAGATGTTCAAGGTCCCAAGATGTATGCACTGTGACCCACACGATCGGTGGGTCAGTCTCATAGCTGCTCCTTGGAAACTGTGCATAGGGGTCACTATGAGTCAGAATTGACTCAACAGCACTTAACAGTCCTGGGGTGGCTCTGGAGGGTAAGCACTGGACTGCTAACTGCAAAGTTGTCAGTTCAAACCCACCAATCACTCTCAGAAAACCTGTACACGGTCGCTATGAGTCGGAACGGACTCGGCGATGCTTAACAACAAAAACAACAATTATAAACCTCAGATCCGTGGCACTGTAAGGTAAGCACTGGACTGCTAACCACAAGGCTGGCAGTTCAACCCGAGGAGCAGCTGGTGAGCAGCCACACCAGGACTCCCAGAAACTATTTGTTGTTGTTAGGTGCCATCGAGTCAGCATCAACTCATAGCAACCTGGTCAAAATGACTCAGAACTGACTTGACGACACACAACAACATAGACTTCTCCATCTTTGGTGGATTAACATTTAGAAAGAAAAAAAAATGATGCCTTTCTCTTTGACTCATGGGAATAAACTGCATCAAATTGGAGAAAAGACAGGACTTTTCTACGTTCAAAGGCCGAGTTCGTCGGAAAAGAAAGACGGTTCCTCAGTTGTGGTTCTTTACCAAGTGTTGTCGTTAGAAGTTCTGGGGTATGGCCTTGATCATATCATTGCAGTCACCCCAATCCTTTTCTTTTCATTCAAGTATGTGAGGTATGTGGAAGAGATTCAAGTCCGACAGAAACCACACAACAATGCTTGCTAGGAACTTGAGACGCACAGCCCAGACGGAGAGGCCTGAGGCCGCGACAACTACTCTGTGCTCCTTCTACAAATATGAATGTTTAATGAGATTAAAACATGATTGATTAAACATACATTTGCTTCATCAGTGCGCCAAGTCTGAGAGTACTAAGATGCAGAGAGAGGATTTTTCCCATTAAATTTCTCATTTTATAAAACATTTCCTATGGACAGATCAGGCACAGGAAAACAGAAGTGGCATCTGCTAAGCTTCGCTGATAACAACTTAAGAGAATCCCATCGGATAGCATCACTCCATTTTTCCTAAAGTACCTCTCATGGAGACTTCCTTTTAAAAAAAAAAAGAAAGAAAGAAAGAAAATCTGGAAATAATTAGAAACTATTAAGGTACCTTAAAAAGTTTCCTTGAAAATGGAGTCTGCTATTCATCAAGGAACACAATAGACTTAGAAGAAATAATGTCGTGGAAATACAAGGCACACCCAGAAATAACATGAAGCCCCTCTATCACATCTGATTACGCAGCAAAACCAACATAAAGTGGGGACAGAAGGGACAATTTCAGACTCGGAGAGATTTAAGAGCATGCAGGAAGCACTGTAGCTAAAAACCTGCGGAGCTTGTCCCATACAATGCATATGAATTACTTCAGTCCTTTCATTTCAAAAGCATAGGAAGTTTTTGGGTTTGTTTGAAGATGCTGCTAACTGTGAAATATGAGGGGGGACTTCAAAAATTTTGTGGCAAATTCCATTTTCTTTTCATTGCATTTTTCCAGAAACTTTCTGATGACCTAGTTCTTATGTAACAGTAATACAAAACAAGAAGAGGTAATGCTTAAATTTTTCTGAGCCACACAGAAAAGAGAATTCTGCAGAATACAGGAAAACGTAACAGTTAAAAGGTTTTGATTATTGTGGAATAAATCTATTGTTCCCAATGAATAACATCTTTTTAAAATCAAGTATATTAGTCTGACTATAAGAGCACTTTAAAAGCTTCAAATATGTTTTCCTCAGAGCCCTGAGATTCCTCTGGGGTGGGGTGGGCGGCAGACTTGATGGCCTGTCCCTCGGAGTTGAAAAGGCTGTCCATATGAGCTGAATTACCCATGACATATGCCTTCAGACATCAGTAATATGATCACATGTAAATGGAGACCATATTTTGGACACAGACCATTGGCAACAGTGAGTTTCTTGAGGAACTCAAGTAAGAGGGAAGAGAAGCTGCCCACCTTCCTAGTCTGGTGTGGTCAGCGTGCGGCTGCCAAAGGAAAAGGCAAACACAGCACATGCGGCAGCGCATGATAAACAAAGCAACGACAACATCACAAGAAATGCTGCCTCTCCTGTCCTTTCCACTCGCCAATGGGTCAACTTCGGAAAAGGAAACAATTTTACACAAAAAAGTCAACTGGAAAATTCCTTTTGCACTGAAAACCGTTTTCTAGTAAGAATAAAATCTGTGTTGCATTTACCCCTGTGTTTGTGTGTGTGTACGTGTATAGATCCACACATCAGCAGTTCTGGTGTGGCACTGTCAGATAGGCACTGGACTGATAAGGATGACGTTGCCAGTTCAAGCCTACCAACTGCTCCTAGTAATTCAGAGCTATGACTATTTCAGGAGCACGACTATATGGCTCATCCCAAGACCGCGGATCCAGGATTGGGTCCTGGTGGCGCTCTGGCTTAAACATTGGGCTGCTAACCTTCAGTTGGTGGTTGAATTGCCTCAGTAGCAGTTGCTGGGTTGAATGTTTTTTGTTTGTGTTTGTTTTTCTTTGCATCAATGGTGACGCAATGGTTAAGTACTTGTCTGCTAACTGCAGGGTGGGTGGTTAGAACCTACCAACTGCTCCGAGAGAGAAAGAAGGCAGTCTGTTTCCATCAAGAAAACAGCTGTGGGAGCCCTGTGTCCTACAGGGGTGCTACGAGCTGGAGCCCACTCAGGGCAGTGGGGGTGAGGCCTCCCGGTACCCCTCCAAAGGTTGGGCTACCAAGAGGACCATTCCAAGGTCTGTTTCTGTTGTGGCACAGAGGCAGCCTACAGAGCAGCAGTACTCCCACAGGGGGGAAGAGACACAGGAAGGCCTGCAGAGGAGCACTGGGCTCTGTGGGGAGCGAGCTAAGCATTTGACATCATTAACTGAGATCTCTTTTCCAGAGGCTGCGGCTGCTGTGGTCACTCCACTAATGGGTGAGAACCACACACCATCCACCGTGAATCCAGTCGTAGAGAGAAACAGCCCTGAAATCCGAGGGTTTACAAAGGCTGCTGAAGTCCACAGTGGAATTTCACAGCAGACACTGTGGAGGCCCCCAGCCCCACACACCTCCACATGATTGACAGAGGATTCCTCATTTTGTTTCTTTAACCGTATTTCTATCTGGAGATCAATGTTTCCGCTTCACAGAAAATAACAATTGGCCTTCTTCTTTTAGGAGTCCGCATTTTTATAAGTTTCTTAAATGAAGTACAGGAATCAATTAACCCCTTGAAATATTTAAACACATTCTGAATTATTTAAAAAATGCAACTTGAAAATCAAACCAGGAGGCATATTTATAACATTGCTTCGGTGGAATATGGCAAGAAAGTGCACTGCATGAAGAGCTTAAATTTCTCACTCTTCCTCTCGATCAATATCTGAGGCAAAGTTTCATCTCTAGGGCCCTTAATGGCAGGAATTCCTGGAGCCAGTAAATGAGTAATGTTAGACCTATGATTAGACAATGAGCCCATCAAAGACGCCAGAGCCTAATGGTACAGCCATCCTCAGTGCTCTGTGCTGCACTCCCACCCGGGGCCGGAGGATGAGGAAGGGCAGGTTATTTCTCTCCGTAAAAGTATTTTTGTCGTGGTTTTCAATGCACATCATCATGAACCTACAAGATTCCCAGCTTTCTCCTTGAACTCAGGACTTGGACGCAGCCTGCGATGAACCCCTGAAGGAATTCTCTTCTCCTCTTCTTCTTCATCCCTATGCTTCCTGGCTAAAAGGAGGCAAATGCACCCAATCTGCTCCCTGTGGATCCATTTTGGACAGGAGTAAGCCCGAAGATGGGAGGCAGTGGGTAAGTTACTGGTGTTGTTTTGTTGGTGTCGTGGTTTCGTTCCTTTTTGCCAGCGTTTTAAAGCATCAAGTGAACGCATGCCATGTTTATTTGGGATGCAGCTGTGGGTTTAGGCCGACTTCAGAGACAGCGTCGATATGTTTGTGTTTGGTTGAGGAACTGAGGAATACAGTTGTTACAGTCTTGTCTAAACTCCTTTTCATTCTGCTGTTGGAGAGCTTAGCATTTCTCTGATGATCAGGTCCCTTAGAGATATGACAGAGCCCCAAGAAGGCTGGCCACTCACTGCCCATTTTAATTGTCGGGAAAGTGCAGTGCCGACCATTTGTAGTTGCTGGTAATTGCTATGAAGGAATAGGCATACCCGACAAGGGCAATGCTATATTGGTCACACTGATGATGAGAGCTGAAGAGCACGAGCAGACTTCTAGGACTCACCTTGATGCACACAACTGACACACAAGGATAAGGGAAGCAGCAAGGTGTCCCCTCACATCCCTCCCCCCTTCCATCCTAACTGATGAGGGCGCTAATCTATTAGAGTGGGAGCAGCCACAGGGCTCCAGAGAAGGCATTCTGCGGCATGGTGGCTAATGTCCGTGGGACGCCAGGAGGGTCTCCAAATTGCACAGGGAGAGACCTACTTGTAGAGATAAATCGAAAGGGGAAACAAAAGACCAGCAAAGGTGGTAGGGAAGGACACAGTTACAGAGAGCAGGAGAGGGGGAATACATTGATAACATAAGCACTGACTGCTAACCGAAAGGTCAGCGGTTTCAACTCGCCAGCCGCTTCTTGGAAAACCTCCCTCTATAGGTGGCCATGAGTTGGAACCGATTAGACAGCACTTAACAGCAGCCTGGCTTCTACGGGGGGCAGCTGTGTCCATGTGAAGGAGACAAGAGAAGGGAGCTCTCAGAGCACCCGGAGGCCCGGGCCCATCTGTTCCCAGTGTGAGTGCGCGGCGCTCGGCGACGTGACTCAGCAGCAGCGTACCTGAGAGCACAGCAACATGACCAGCTCCACCACCGACGTGCTGGACTTCATGCAGACCAGGCCTGCAGGGAACAAAGGGGGACACAGGTCAGCACTCAGCCTTGCTCACTCATGATCAAGTGTGAGCAAAAGAGTCACAAGACACGAGTACTAAACACTGACAGCAGACTGCAACTACTCTCTGCTCAGAACAGTTCTCGTGTTTACACAAGGCAAGGCCATGGCCAAGGAACCCGGAGGCTGCAGTGGTTACGTGCTCGGCTGCTACCAACCCTCCAGTGGTCCTGAGGGTGAAAAGGAGACAGTCTGCTTCCGTGAGGAGTCACGGCCTGGAAGCCCTGTGGGGTGGGCCTGCTCTGTCCTATAGGGTTCCTATGAGGCGGTGACAGCCATAGATAGGGTTTGTTTACAAAACTCAGGGGCAGTCCCAGGACATCTAAGAACCAACTGTTCTGGAGTGGAGAGCTGGTATCTGTGGAGGACTGTCTGCGTCTTCTTCCAACAGGCAGCATAAAAGTAATTTACATATAGCTTAGCCCCATAGATTGTCAGGTGTTGTTTTTTCTGAAGACAGTACAAAACAAATTTCATAAACAACTTTTGTTGTTGTTGTTGATGGGTACCATCAAGCCAGTTCCAACTCATAACCATCCCGTACAGGGTTTTCACAGAGGGATTGGTGAGTTTGAACTGCCGACCCTGTAGTTCAAATGGAGTTTGTGGCCAAGTGCTTACCCTATAGCGCCACCCCAGGACACTTGCTAAAATGAAGTTTAGTGGGGAAAAAGATGAGGCTTTCCTCTCCCGTAAACATTTCCAGTCTCAGAAACCCCATGCAGGGTCGTCATCACTCAGAATCAACTCGAAGGCACTTACCAAGAAAGGAAGCTGAAAAATCTCCAAGTATTCCGCATATCAACACTCTGGAGAGATATCGTACCAAAGAGAATCAATGATTCTGCTCACTGACCACTTTCTAAGAGCTAGGAGATGTGCTAAGTGCGTTTACACATACACCAAAACACAAACCCACGGCCAGCGAGTCCAGTCCGACTCACAGTGAGCCCACGGGACAGAGCAGAGCGGTCCCACAGGTTCTGAGACTAAATCTTCATGGGAGCAGACAGCTTCAGCTTTCTCCCTCAGAGGAGCTGGTGGGTTTGAACTACCAACCTTGTGGTTAGCAGCCCAAAGCCTCACCGATCTGGTCTCCTTTTACTCTCATCACTCTGTGACAGAGAGTGATGAGAGCCGAAACATGAAGCGTTCATCAAGGTTCCCCCACTGAAAGACGACAGCTACGTAACACTGCAGGAGGTACAAGGGCTGGTCAGAGCAATGCCAACAGAGAGGAAGATGTAGCCAGAGTACCACCAGGACCTCTGGATGAGCCAACAACGCCATGATGGCATGCTTTAAAGTTTCCCCTGGGTTTTAAATGAAAGTAACTTTGTGAATAGACGCATTTTCTTGTGCTTTGCAGACAAGTGTTAACCAGGAGAGGTGTCCATACGCCACAGTTTTACATTAGTTGTTGCTAAATGGAAAGTTGAGCGAAACCAGCGCTTTTGTTTGTCTTGAGGTAAATTGACTAAACAGTCTTAAGTGCCTTCCCGACACTGGTGTGTGTATTTAGGGTGGGCCCTTCTGTGCCCACTTTGCTAACAACCCAATCCTTACTGTACCGACAGAGAACAAGCTGTACAAGGCCACTAGCATCGCGTCTTATCAGATGCGCCAGCAGACAGCTAACTAATGAAATCAGAGGCAGATGGGAGCAGTTCATTTAAGAGACAACAGCTGTAATTGATCAGCAATTGTGGTGCTCATGGGCTCAGAGAGTCAGGAAGATTCATGGGACATGCATTACCTGTTGGCTACTCCACAATTTCAACTCTGGACAAAGAAAAACAGAGTCTGAGGCCTCAGGGCTGAGCATAGCACACTGATGAAATGAACACCTACCTGTTCCACAACGTTTGACATGCTTTGGTGTTAACAAAGATGGCTCACTGCGGCTTCTGTGTTGTTGTTGTTGTTGTTGTGGGTAGGTGCCATGAGTCAGTTCTGATTCACAGAGACCCTGTACACAACAGAACGAAACACTGCCCGGTCCTGAACCATCTTTGTAACTGACGTCACATTTGAGCCCACTGCTGCTGCCACTGTGTCAATCCATCTCATTGGGGGTCTTTCTCTTGTTTGCTGCCCCCCACTTTACCAAGCATGATGTCCTTCTTCATGGACTGGTCCCACCTGATAACATGTCCGGCGTATGAGATTCTAAGTTTCACCATCCTGACTTCTTAGGAACATTTCTGGCTGTCCTTCTTCCAACAACCATTTTGTTTGTTCTTCTGGCAGTCCACGGTACTTTCAATATTCTTTGTCAATACCACAGTTCAAATGCATGTGTATTACGCTTTCTTTTTCTTTTTTCTTGTGAATTGAGTGAAGGTTTACAGAGCAGATCATCAGTTGACATCCAACAAATCATAGTTCATCTGTGTGGTTACAATCCATATAACATCACTCAGTCCACCTCCTCCCTGTGATGGTTTCCATCCCTCCGTCTTTCCCCACCCAATGGAATTGTGTCCATTGGTAAACACTGCCTTTTTGATCTCAAATGGTTGACATTTCCTGGTGTGTATACACATCATGAGTGTTCTTGAGCCCTGGTAGAATTATCTATTGTTTGGCTGAAAACGGAACCACATAGGTGAGTTCAGTTACAGACCTGAAGGGTGACCGGGGCCAGTCTCTGTCGTCCAGTGGTCGCTATCAAATCAGTAAACCTGGTCTTCTTTATGCTTTTGATTTTGTTACACAGTTTCTTTGTAGTAGGGTTTCTTGATAGATAACAATTTCAAGTAGAACTTAGGGGAAAATTTTAATTGCTTTCATTTTCTTGTTTTGTTTATTGAACTTGTAAGAGAAAACGCTATGTAAAGAAAAATATAAAATGAACATTCATTGCAACTAAGTAAGCTTTGTTCAAAAGGATTAACATCAAAGTGGGAGGGTATCAAAACTGCAATTTGCAAGCAGCACTCTCATTACTTTGAAAAAGGCTATTGTTTTTTCAACTTCACAGAGCCAAATACTCAACTTCACGAGTACGGTGGGCCTAATTCGTCTTGAACAGAATGAACTAATGGATTGTCTTCAAAAGGTTGTTGTTGGTTTTTTTAATTTAAAAAGACAGCCAACCTTGACAACACCATTGTGAACTGAGGCAATTCTGGAAGAATTACCCATCGTTTAAAAGTACAGAATCACTTCCATCAAAATGATTTCTAAGTGCTAACAAAAATATGAGAGGGCTTCAGAAGGTTCTTGGAAAGATTCCATCTCCTTAATCCCATTTTTCCACAAACTTTGTGAAGTCTCCTTGTGTTGCTGAGACAAACAGGTAAACTCCAGTGTTTGAGTAAGCATACTGAGGAAGGAAGGCATGTCTGGTGACACCATAGCCTTCTTAATGAATTTGAAAACTTTAGATTTGGGTAAGAACCATGATTTTATGTCACTTTAATTATCAATTTAAGAAACCCAATTTTATCTGGAGCTGCTACAAGTCAATTCTGAGACGGCATCTCCACAAGGTAAGTGGTTTCAGACTTGATGTTTCTAATAGGCTGTTTACAGTTTGTGACCGACAAGAAGTATCATCAGTTCAACTCCTACACTTGCCGGCATGGCCTCGTATAGAGTTAACATCAAGACGCTTACAGTGTTAAATGACACACCATCGACACATTACCAAGGGCTCTATATTTTAATTTGAATCTAAGAGCGTCTAAAATTTATGTCGAGTTTTATAAAAGACTATTAAATGTATCATGGGCTGTCAAAAGAAGGAACGAATCTGTGCTGGGAGAGGTACCGCCAGAATGCTCCTTAGAAGGGAGGATGAAGGATGGAGAAACTCGTCTCTCATACTTCAGACATGTTTTCAGACAGACATCATGCTTGGAAAAGTGAAGGGACAAGGGTCAGTGAAAGAGAGGAAGACCCCCAATGAGATGGACTGGTACAGTGGCTGCACCAATGGGCTCAAACATGGAGGTGGATGATGAGGATGGCTCAGGGTCGTTGCACATGGGGTCACTGTTGGTGGGAACCAACTCACAGGCAGTGGGGTTGGGTTGGTTTACTACTCATTTGAATCTCTTCTAACTCTTTGAACTTCTCACCACGTCTCACTGGGCAGATAGACATGAGAAGATATAGGGATCGGCCCGGCCTGCCTCAGTCCCTGCATGGAGTAGGGCCTAAGGAGCTCGCTTTACTCTGGTGCCGAGCTACAGGGTCAATTCACCATCGACACTTAGGGGCTGACTGACCAGAGTACAGGGCATATTTGCTGGCCTGTCAGGAGGGCTAGGGGAAAGCTCACAGGTGAATAAAGATGGAAAGAAATACAATGAGAAATGATACTGCTTCAAGATGAACCATCTATAGCCCAAACCCACACCTTTGAGTCAATTCTGAGAAGCAAACCTATAGGGCAGAGCAGAGCTGCCCCATGGGATTCCTGACAATATCAATATATATGGGAACAGACTTCACAGCTGTCACCCAAGGAACAGCTGATGGGTTCAAACCACCAACCAACCTTGCGTTTAGTAGCCTAATGCTTAACCCACACTGTCACCACGGTTCCTTGAAGAATCCATTACTGTTGTTGCTAAGAGTCATTGAGTTGGTACTGGCTCACAGCAACCCTGTACAGAGTTTCCAAGGTGCAGCTGGTGGGTTTGAACTGCCGACTTTGCATTTAGTAGTCCAGTGCTGATCCTACAGCACCACCCAGGGAAAGCAGTACCATGGGCCAGTGAGCACTCTATCTCTATCCCATAGTGATGTCCTCCGGTTAGGTGTGAAGCGGCTCTCAGAACAATATGCTGATGGCTGTTCAACACGATCAATGGCATTACTGCCACTGAGGTATACAAGCAAAAATGGTTAAATGGCCACATATTGTTATATGGTATCATGCTACCATTATTTAAATAATAAAAAAGGGCGGGGTAGCCTTCCTCAGAGGAGCTGTCCA